GGGGCGGGGGCGCCGCGGTCGGGCGGGGAGGGGGCGAGGGCAGGGTTTGGGGTGCGCACAGCCTCCCTCCAAGGCCCAGACGTTTACCCGGAGGCAGCTCCCTTTCTCCCTCTCGTCCGCCACGGAGCCAGGCTTCCGGTCAGCGGAGGGTTTTCTCCAGGCTCTCTCGGTGAACTTGAACGCAGGCAGAGGCAAAAGCGAAACGCATGTATTTTGTCCAGAAAATTACCCCGAGTGGATGTTTGCATCTTCCCAGGTGTGGACGGACACTCAGGACTGGAGGCTTCCAATTGCGTTTTTCTTTCATACTCAGAAGGGTCCCAGGCTGGGCATTTTCCTGAGCATCTGGGCTCAGGATGATACCTATTGGGTGCTGGCTGGCCCTGGGGAGGGGGACCCCCAACCCTCCTGCTGAGCAGTAGGAAGGCTGATACAGGGGTTCCAGCCCCACAGCTCCGCGCTGCCTACACTCGCCCTGTCCCCAGCTGCTCCCAGGATGGACAGACTCAGGACTCCACTGTACTTTTCTAACGTTAGATGCCATCCTCTCTCTTGTTGCTTTGGGTTATGGAGGTGCTTGGGTTAACCCACTTTGGAACCCCAGGGTTAGGATCAGGAATGGGGGCCTTTCTATTTTCCTTTGAATTGCCTGGGTTATCTCACAGGGGGCGCAGGCAGTGAGGGCTAGTGGGGGGTGACAGAGGACACGTGATGCTGGCTTGCCTGCCCTGTCTCAGGACCCCCTGCTTGATGCCGCGAGTGCTGGGGGAGGACAGGAGGTGTCCTGCGGGTGTGGAAGAATGAGGTTGATTTCTCTCAAGCGTGCTCCCCTCACACACACACTTAGCTGGGCTCTCAGAATACCCCTGGAGCAGGTGCTGTGGCCGGTGGGTGCTAGAGCCAGGGGTTCTATGAGGAAGAGGAGCTCTCCTGGGCGGCGGTGGCTGAAGGAGCTGGGTGGGCGGCTGGGCTGGTGAGCGGAGCCTGACAGCCGCACCTCCCCCACCAGAAGCCCCCCGGCCCTCACCTGCAGCCTTCTTTGGGGGTGAGGGGATCCCTGTCTCCAGTGGGTGTGGGAGCCCTGTGTGGTGCTGTCCTGTGGCTTGTGTCCTGTCTGGTTGGAAGTGAAGAGAAGCTGGGATCGGGCAGAATGCCGACTCCTGTCCCTCCCTCCCTCCTGTCTCCCTGACCAGGCAGAAGTGGATATTCTGGGCCACCAGTTGGTCTGCTGCTAAGGCTTGAGCCTCCGGCCTGGTCAGTTCAGCTGGAGCACTGGGGAGTGAGTCACAGAGCTGGTTCCTTGTGGAGTCAGCCTGAGCAGGCGCCTCAGAGCGTCTGAATCCAGAGTTTCCAGGCCCTGATAGAACTGTCTCTGAGCAGGGCCTCTCAGAAAGGCGTTTCTCTTTGTAGACGCTCCTGGCTTGTATACTCCCATCAGCCCCCAGTCAGCCTTGGTGAGCTCCCCGACTCCCCCTCTGGAGGCACAGTGGGGTCAAGGCCAGGGACTCTGGGGCACCTCAGTGTTTAGGCCTTCAACGTCTTCATCCTCAAGGTGTGAGGGATAATCACTCGTACCAGCAGAGACAGAGCCGGGTCCTACCACCTGGGGCCAAGCTGGGCTGGAGGCTCGCCCTGCTTGTTCAGGGAATGAGTGAGTGAGCGTGGCTTTCCACTGCCTTCTCGCTGGGCTCGTGGTCTTGCTTTCACACTGCTTCCTTTAATCTCTCCTCATCATGGCTTTGATGACAACCATGTTGACATATGGCCTGGAAAATTATCGGAAGTGTGCCTCTTTCGGAGAACGTGGTCAGGGAGGAACCCTACCTATGTGCTGCCTCCTGGTGTGGATGTGAGAAGTGGACGGAAGAACGGGCTGGATTAATTTTGTAAACTACAAAATTCGGTGCACCTACTGGTAGCTGTTAAGTCCCCTACTGTCCGCTCTGCTTCCCTGCCCTTGCTGCTGGAAGCCACTGGGGATTTGAGCCTCCTCCCAGGGGTGGCTCCCTTGGCATGCGGGGACAATGAGTGTTCTGAGGACAGGAATGCACAGGGTATCTTGGGCCTTCTCCCATAGCTTGAGTCCCCATCCCGGTGGCGAGTGTCAAGCGAGAGAATGTCAGGTGTGACTTTGGTTGGGTACTCATCTAGATGTAGCCAAGTCACTCTGGGGTTTGAACACCTGTTTACCTGCCAGACTCTGAGATAGGACCAAGACAACTGTCAAGGGTTCAACACTAGATGGGAAAAACACATAAACAGATGAACAAACTAGAGCTCTATGAAAGAGGTAGCCCAGAGATAGGCCGGAAGAGGTCGCGATTGGCTCTTTCAAGAGTGGGATGGACTCCTGATTATCCAGCTGAAAGGGAGAAATGTCGGCCCCCAAGGTGGTGCCCTGTCTTTGCAGCCCCACCCCCTGGAATGGTGCTTGGAAGGCTCTCTGTCCCTGGTATTGAACAAATGAAGGCCGTATGTTATGGAGAGTGACACACGCTTGGAATCAGAGAGTTCAGTCTAGCAATGGCTGTCTGTGTGCAAGTTAATTGGCCCTCTCTCCGTGTCAAATTCTGCATTGTATAATGGGGATGATAATGATTCTGACCTCACAAGTTTGTGGGAAGATCACTCATTCATTTGTTCATCTGATCATTCATTCAGTGCACTTGATAGTCTGCGGAAGTACCTTGAACTCTCTAACATGGGATACTAAAAATTATTCTTAGTTACGTGAACCCCAGCAGTGGGTTAACTGAAGGGTTTCCCCTCTTTGCATTCAATGGCATTTTGACCTTACCTTATTGTTATGTTTTATGCCTTTTAGACATTTTTTTTTTAATTTTGAACTTTTTCTCTGAAGTTCTAAAGTTCAAAATATCATGAGATTTGCCTGATCAAAGGCAGGGACCCCACCCGCTCCTATTTCTCAGACTTTGTTCTCACCAGGGGCCTAGAAGGTTTATGTTTAGTGGGTCCCTTGCCCCCTTTCTCAGCCTCCAAGCCCCGGAGGTGTGGGACCCGGGAGTGAGGGCAGCATGGCCTTGAGCATGGAGGGTGTCCAGAGGGGACTCATTTCCTGGGGCCTGCCCTGTGCCCTCCCAGAAGCGGGCAGAGACACTGACTGTGCCTGGGAGGAGAAGCAGGGACATGAGCTGGCGGCCCTGACTCAAGACAGCACACCACCCAGGCACAGTTCTCTGCAGCATCCAGCCTCACTGTCTAGTGCTGGGGAGCAACTCTTTCTGGGGATCAGGGAGGCTTCATGGAAGAGGTGGCCTTGGAGCTAAGCCTTGATAGCCTGAAGCCTTTCAAAGCCATGAGATGGGGCACAGGCATCCCTGGCTGGCAGAAGAGCATGCGTGAGGGTGTGTGAAGCATCTC